CCCCAAAACCCCAAAACCCCGTACAATGCATTGAGAGCTAAGTAGTGAATTAGCAGTTAAATTAGATTTTAAAATTAGAATATTAATTTGTCTAATTGAATGGAAATTAAGAAAGAACAACCATAGCCCTTAATAGGTAAGGCAAGAATCCACTCTTCCCGACTACCGCCCACTTACGGAATGATTTCTAATAAATATACATTGGGAGGGTAAGAACGGATTGGAAGACACCCTAATTCTAGGAAAATATCGCTTCCTTCCTAGTATCCATCTCTTCAAAGATCATCTACTTAATCTCGTTAGAATTCATTAGTTGATAACTAGCAATCTAATTAAAGTCATAATCGCTCTTAAGCAAATTCAAGCCAGCGGGAAAGGCCTTTTAGAATAGGCAGGCATTTCGAAAAGGAGAATTCCTTCAATATAAACTAGCTGCCTATCCTTGAAGAGAGCGGCAGTCTTGAGAAAACTATGAAAGAGATGTTTATAAATGGAGATAAATTTGGAATCAAGAATTAAAAGTATAAATAACCCTTGAATTAATACAATTAACAATAACAACAAATATATATGTCTCTCTAACAGTAGCAATAACAAATGCAGCCACAGCAGTGCAAGACACCGACCTGCATCTAGAGCAGGGCTTTAGAACCTATTTAATTTGACTAGAATATACCGAGGAAGGAGTAAGCAGTAATTGAGCAATAGAATGTGAGCGTAAATTTTTAGAGAAACAGGAATAACTCCAACTCTGCCATTTTTAAGCATCAGTAATTTAAGAAAAATTATGTCAAAAAGCTCAATTCATTCAACGTCTACTTACCTCCACCCTAGGTTACTGCCAAATGCTGGGCAATATTTGACGCTTCTAAAATGAATTTTATCCATGGTAAAAGAGAGTACATGAGGCGAGAAGTAGCAAGTCTTACAAAAATGATGACAGCTTACACTGTCATTAAATTAGTTAAAGAATATAAAATTGATATGAGCAAGGAAATGGTGGTAATATAGCAAGTTGCTGCTTAAATTTCAGGCACAACAGCATGCCTATAAGAAGCTGATTAACTCACTGTCGAGTAACTATTGTATGGTTTGATGTTACCTTCAGGAAATGATGCAGCATTTGCTTTGGCATAGCATTTCGGTCAGATTTTATTTAACAGCAACTATGAGTCATTGGAGGAAGGTAATAAAGTTTACAGCTATCAGTTCAACTGGCATGGATACTATGTGAAGTACTTTTTGAGAGAAATGAATGAGAATGCAGCAAGAATTTAAATGATGAGCACAAACTTTGATAGTCCGCATGGACTCATGAACTAACAGAATTACTCAACCGCTTACGATATCGCTAAACTAGCATCGAAATGTATGTAGAATGATCTTTATAGAAAGATTGTTAATACTAAAATATTTGAATGTCAAGGTAGAACTAAAGATGGATAGCTAAGAAAGTACTGTTGGGAAAATACAAATAAATTACTCGGATAAGATGGATTTAATGGAATCAAAACTGGTATTACTGATTCTGCAGGTCCATGCTTAGCTTCATCTTATCAAAAAGGACCAGACTTTTTCATTGTAGTAATTTTGAATAGCAAGAGTATGGAATAAAGATGGGTTGAGGTGCCTAAACTTGTTGAATGGGCAATAACTAAGAAGAATGCTCAGATTGAAATGAGTAAATAATATGATTTAGGAAATACTGATAGTAATCACAGCCTAGTCTCCTAGAAGCTTAATCTTCGATGATGAGATAATGTAAAGTTCAATTACATAGAAGCGGACAATCTTTATTGCATTCTAATTAAACCTATTGCTATATATTTATTTATATTATTTTATTGTTAAATACTACCAACAATTACTTAAAATAAGCATGAAGGGGTTTTGGGGTTTTGGGG